CAGTATTTCATTAAGAGTTACGAAACAATGATTTTTCTGTTTGGCTAATTTCTTCATGGATTAGCTAGAATTCCTCTTTAGCAAAGAACTATTCCTTCTCAACAATTTGATTATCCTGAAATGCAGTTTGTACTGGAAAGTAAGTTAAATTTCTGATTGTTTTATTTCTCAATTTCCTGAATAATGTATTGGTATCTTAACCAATATCCAGTGGTGACTGATTAATCTTATTTTTTCTTTTTGGAGTATCTGTTTGAACTGATTAATTTTTGTGTAGTTGATATATTTAAATCAGTTATAGCCAATATTTATTCTTATGCCCAAATTGCTTTATCCTAGGCCAGTGGGCACCCTTTCAAGTTGATTTCTGTATCTTTTTGATAGCATCCCATCAGTCTTTGATAGTTTTGTTGTTTTCTGGTATAACATGTTTTCCAGACATGGGATCAGTTATTCCTCTAAGGAACTTGGTTCCTTTAAGTGGAAAATAGTATTTAGAAATAATCTAGGTACAGAGAGCATTCTATAATTAAACACATGAACATTTCTGCAGTTAAATAAATGAATATTCATTCACACTAAGTGAGAAAAATAGACTATAAATAGCATCATATCAGTTCAGGTCAGGTTTTGTCCCGAAATGATCTACCCCAAATCTTAATTTTTAAGATTTTTTAAAAAATTGTAATTACAAATAAGAGATTATGTATGGAGCTATAGTGCATTTGTTTGCATGTGCTGAAAATTGAGGATAAGAATTTTGTGGGCTGGAGAAATAAAGAAGTCTGTTTTTTGGTAAAAGAGAAATAACTCATTTCTTGGTAAATGGTAGACTAATAGATATATACCTTAACTAGTGCCTCTAATTATTTTAGGTCAGATTTTCGAGTATATATTTTTTTGAGTAGCTCATGTGAATTTTGGTAAAAAAATTCCTCTTGATTAAATAAAAATATTTTAAGATTACTTGGCATGTAATAAGTTCTTAATAATCAATAGTTTCCTCTTGCTGTTTCTTTTGTTTGCTCCTTTAGCCCAAGGTGTGTCCTCCTAAACACTGTTGGCGTGTTGAGTAGGGTCCTGCTTTGTCTGGGGGCCTCTTCTGTGCTCTGCAGGGAGCTTAGCAGCCTTTCCGGCCTCTGCCCTCGAGCTGTCAGTTGTCCCCCCCACCAGTCGTGACAGTTGTTAAATGTCTCCTGGGACTTTGCCGGTGCCGCAGTGGTGAAGAATCTGCCTGGCATGCAGGAGAGACAGATGTGAGCCCTGTTCCGGAAAGATCCGGCACCCCACCTAGCGGCTAAGCTCGTGTGCCCCCGCTGCTGAACCTGCGCTCTGAAGCCAGGGCGCTGCAAGCGCTGAGCCCGCAGGCCGCAGCCGCTGAAGCCTGTGTGCCCACCTTCCCCCGCCAGAGCAGCCCCTGCCGTGAGGAGCTGGTGCCCTGCAGCTGGAGGGAAGTTGGCATAGCGTTGACGGCCCAGCACAGCCAAACACGTTGCCACGCGTCCTCTGGGGAGGGGGTGGGCCACATCGCCCCCAGTCAGGAATCGTTTATTTAGGCTCATCAGGTAACGTGTTTGACACTAAACATTCAGTTATCTGACTAGTGAGGTAGAAAGGACCTTGTGTATCTTGAGATCAGGCAGTATTTGGAAAGCCATGTTGCCACCAGCTCTGTATAAGTCACCTCCTCCTCATTCATACCTAGAGTGATTTCAGGATGTGTTTCTATAGTTAGAGCTCAAGTTTCTCTTTTTTCCTTGGGGAGATTGTTTTCCTTTCTTGATTTGAGATTTTAAAAGACTTACCATTTTTCCTTAATATATATTGATGTTAGTATTTTTTGAGATTCTGTATAAGTTTATTTCCTTGTATTAGCTTAGAATAAAAATGATGACAAATTTGAATAAGAAGTGACTTGAAATAGTTAATCAAGAGCTAATCTTTACTAACTAATAAACTGTGCTTTCCTTGCCACTAGATGGACCCATTCTCATAATGAACAGAGGAAAACTGAAAAAAAAAAACCAACCAAACGCTTCCCCTCCCCACCCCCCAAACATTGAAGACAAAGGAGGTTAGGCTTGTAGTATACCTATTTAATGAAATTTTAAAAAAAATCAGATACATAATCTTCCATATTTTTCTATAGAGATTTGTTTTGTTGAAGGTTTTTATAATGTTTCTTACTTTTAACAATCTAGTCATTTATTAATGCTTTGAAGTGTAACCATAAAGTAAAGCATTAAGCACTTATTTAACAGCTAACATTAAAGGACCACTGGCACTTCAATTGTGTCTCATCATGTGACTTAGTCACTTAATTGCAGTTATTCTTACATAATGTTATTCGTAACAACATTTGCTCTTTAGATGCAAAAACAGTAGTCATGTAGATGAGAAACATATCTAAAGTTAGAGTGTTGTTATTTAGTCTCTAAGTCATGTCTGACTCAATGGACTGTAATGGACTGTAACCTGCTAGGCTCCTCTGTTGTTGGGATTTCCCAGGCAAGAATACTGGAGTGAGTTGCTATTTCCTCCTCCAAAATTTGAGTATTTGTTGCTTAAATTGGTCTCAAGTATAAAGTAGAAAGGAAGTTTACACGTTGTGTTGATACATGTTGAATAAAAAGGTCTGTTTATATAAACTGACATCTTTGCATAATTTTTGAGACACCTTTTCTTACAGAGCACTGGAGATGATGAATTTATATAGTTTCATGATTATAGCCCCTTTATTTCTAAGGAGTGTCTCTTTTGTTCAAGGCTGATTTCTTTATTATTTTTTAAAATCTCTTAGGAAACTTCATTTCAGTTATATCATTGTTCTCTATTACTTTCAACCTCTGTAAATTAACCAGATCCTTCTCAGCCTATAAATGTATTTAAGCCTCTTATATTAAAATATTACTCTGCCCCCCAAAACCTTTTCTTGCTGTTTTATATGTCCCCTTCCCCTTCCCAGCACACTTTCCAAAAGATTGATACTCAAATCCATTTATTCCTATTCACCTCATTGCAATCTGGAGTCCTCCCCCTAAATAAATAGCGCCTTTCAGTTCTAATCTTTATGTGACATTTATTTTTATTTTTTTAATTTTTTTTTATTTTTTTATTTTTATTTTTTTAAATTTTTTATTTATTTACTTATTTATTTATTTTTTTTATCACAACCATAGTGTATCTTTTTTTTTTTTTTACATGTATTCCCCATCCCGGTCCCCCCTCCCACCTCCCTCTCCACCCAATCCCTCTGGGTCTTCCCAGTGCACCAGGCCCGAGCACTTGTCTCATGCACCCAACCTGGGCTGGTGAACTGTTTCACCCTAGGTAATATACGTGTTTCAATGCTGTTCTCTTGAAACATCCCACCCTCGCCTTCTCCCAGAGTCCACAAGTCTGTTCTATACATAGGAGTCTCTTTTTCTGTTTTGCACATTTATGTGACATTTAAACAGTTCTTGGGACTTCCTCTTTGCCTGGTAAACATGACCCTATGTTCATGTTCTTTTTATTTTCTTGACCCCATTAAAGTTCATTTTCAGTCTTTTTTTATGCCTTCTCACCCCCTCAGCTTATTCTTGAAAGGTTAGTTTTCCTCAGATTCCATCTTTATGTTCTCTTGTTCTATCCATTTTTAGTGATTTTATTCATGCCACAGACACCTTCTGTAGTTGACTGTATGCTGATCATTCTTGAATCCACAACTCCAGCTAGACCTCTCTGTGAAGCTATTTACCCTATTTCCAAATATTTTTGAGTCTCGTAAGAAAACACCCCCCCCCCTTTTTTTTTTTCCTGTATTTTGGCCACACCACTGGGCATAGGGATGGCTCCCTGACCAGGAATTGAAGGCACGCCTCGGCAGTGAAAGTGCTGAATCCTAACCACTGGGTCACCAGGGGGCTTCCTGTTAAGAGCCTTAAAGTCTGCATGTCCAAGTGTGCTCACTGTGTTGACTGCACGTCCAGTTGTACTCATTGTGTGGCCAAGTAGACTGATATAAACTCCTGTATTCTGTAACTTGGTGGGTGGTACCGCTGCCTAATTAGTCATCCAAGTCAGAACCGAAGACTCCTTCTACATCTTTTCTATCAGTGTTGACAGTAATTCATCCCTCAGATGGCAGATTCTGCCTTAAATATTTCTTCCATCTGCCTCTCCGTGTTATTCCCATCACCAGGACCCTTGTCAGTCAAACCCTAATCTCACATAGAGATTAGTGGGATGACTTCTTACTAGTTTTCTTGCTTCATTGATGCTTCTCTATTTTATGTTGAACTGCCATTGAAGTGGATTTTCTAAAACATGATAATTTAGTATGTACACCAAGTCGTTTTTATTACATTTTCAAAGTAGTTAAAATAATTTGAGAATGTAATCATTTTTGGACGCTATGAAGCTTATTTGTAGCTTTGCATATTATAAAGATAGGACCATACTTCCCTGTAATATGTCCTGAAAATAAATTTCTTTTTCTCAGCAGTTTTTCCTTTTGAAAGTCTGTTTTGAAAGATGATAGGCTAATGTAAAGATACAGGCAGTTGGTTCCTAGAGAACTGTAAAGTAGTTTTGTTTTTACTGTACTGTATGTTCATCAGTTTCTGTATCCAGTCATGTCCTGTGTGGATGTCTATGTGTGTCTTTTAGAGTTGTGTCTTTGATGAAATCTCTCCTTATTTAAAATGCTTGGGCCTTTTAGTTTTGAAATAAAACTTCAGACCTTCGAAACAGTTGTAATTAATAGATCAATATGTTATATTTAAACTTTTAGTTAGTGCTATAAGCTATATCCCAAGCAATTTAAGCTGACAGGTTTAATAGTTATAAGAGAGGGCTAAGTTTTAAAAATGTGGTTATTTTATAAAATGATTGAAATGTTTTGTTTGCAGGTTGGAATTTTAAAGTGAAATGTGGCCTCTGAAGTGATTTGTAATTTTATTTATTTATTTATTTTTTAGTGATTTGTAATTTTAAATGAAAACTGCTTTTTTTCCTAGGTGTTCATTGTACCCATGGTTTCAATCGCACTGGTTTCCTCATATGTGCCTTCTTGGTGGAGAAAATGGATTGGAGGTATTTGTTTCTTGTTGTAGTGAAAGAAGACATATTTAGTAATTGATAAAAATTTTATTGATTTTTTTTTTTTTAGTTTTAGCATTTTATATTTCCAGGTCTTTTGGTGAAGTCATGATTAACATGATTTCAGTGGTTTTTATTTTAGATTTGGTTAATCTTTAGAATACCATTCATTACTGATGTTTTCTACAAAGTAGCATGTTGAGTGCTTATGGATCCCAAATACTATACATTTTCTTTCCTAGATTTTTTTTTTACATCTTACAGAATTGTCAGAGACAAGTTCTCCCAACATTTTGTGTATGTTTTCACCTTGGAGGTTACTACTGTTGTTTTTCTTTTCATTTTTAAGTACCTTTTAAAAAAATAGCTGCTGAGTATTAGAAAAAGCTTAAATACCATAAATACCAGGTACCATATGTTAAAACTGTTTCAGAATGGTTTGTCTCTTAGTAGATTGAATGCCTTGAGAGTAGGGACTGTGGTGTGTCCATTTTATAAAACTTCTGTTATGCTTTGTATAATAGTCTTAAATATGAAGGTATTTTTGGGGACTGAGTTACTCTGTTTAAGCCAATCAGCAGGTCTTTATGAGTACCTGTTAACTTGTAAAGTGTCTTTTTAGATTCTGAGAGATTAGAGAATGAGATATTACTGAATTTCCTCATTTACTTTAAAGGTCTTTTGTTTACAAAGCCTTTCATGCAGTAGGTCCTTCTCTGAATATAGTCACCTGAAGTAGACATGTGATTATATGTTTCCCTGTTCACTCATCCTCTGTGGTTCTCTACTGCATACATTCTGCCTCTGCCTTTCTGCCCTTTCAGATCTCTAAAAGGTAACTACACTATGACTGCTCTGTCAGACTCAGCCTATGCTTAGCCTCGCTGTGATGACCTGTGCTCTTAACGCTTGGGTCTGTTGAAAGTTCCTGAAAAACCATCATGCTTTTACTTTATTTTCACGTTGCTTTTCCTTGACTGGTGTTTTCAGTAAACACCAGTTTCTGTTTAAACCTTTAAGGGTTTACTTTAATTCTTTACAGACTCCACCCAGTTCTCCTCATTACACTCATTACAGTTTACCTTTAGAGTTTAGGAAATACCATGTACCATGTGTTAAAACTGTTTCACAATGATTTGTCTCTTAGTAGATTGAATGCCTTGAGGGTAGGGATTGTGATGTGTCCATTTTATGAAACCTCTGTTGTGCTTCACTATGATAGCTGTAAATATAGTAAGAGGATTTTGGTAAATCTTTGTAAATGGAGAGTAGTGAGGAAGTCGCATGGTGTTTATTTCCCACAGTATTGAAGCAGCGGTTGCTACCTTTGCCCAAGCCAGACCACCAGGAATTTATAAGGGTGATTACTTGAAAGAACTTTTTCGTCGCTATGGTGATATAGAGGAAGCACCACCCCCACCTCTGTTGCCAGATTGGTGTTTTGAGGATGATGAAGATGAAGATGAGGACGAGGATGGAAAAAAGGAATCAGAACCTGGGTCAAGCGCCTCCTTTGGTAAAAGGAGAAAAGAACGTTTAAAATTGGTAATGTTTAAAGATATTATTATAGTCTACCTTTTTCCTCTACAGGCTTATTGAGATTTATGCAAATAGAATGTTGACTATGTTTGTTTTGCTGGGTTTGTAACATTTCTTTATTCCTGTCATTTCCAAAGACTCTGTTTTGACTGCACCACGTAGCTTGTGGGATCTCAGTTCCCAACTGAGGACTGAACCTGAGCCCTTGGCAGTGAGAGTGTGGAGTCTTAACTACTGGACCACCAGGAAGGTCCCCCAAAGACTTTTTTTTTAGTTGATTTTTATTGGAGTATAGTTGCTTCATAATGTTGTATTCGTTTCCTCCGTACAGCGAAGTGAATCAGTTATACATGTACAGTTATCCCCCCTTTAGAGTCCGTTCCCATCTAGGTCAACACAAAGCATTGAGGAGAGTTTCCTGTCCTCCCGAAGATTCTTGATAGCCATGAATCTTTGCCTTTTCTACAAAAAATTTTCAGTTATATGAATTTATCCTGTTTTTGTTTCTTAGGTAAACCAAAGAACTGTTAGATGTTAGATTGAGAATTTATTGTTTCTTTGCAAAAGATTGTGAGATTCCAACTAAATATAAAGTGAATATTTTTACTAGTGCTTTATAAACTTATCCCATAGTTAAAATAACTTGATACATAAATTCTCCTTTCCATGGGTGGCATTTTCACATTTTTCTGTAAAGTTGAATTCAGAAGACTCTTATTTCTTCAATAAGAAATTCAGAAGACTCTTATTTCTTCAATAAGAATTTCAGAAGGCTCTTATTTCTTTGATAAGAAACTCAATAATTTCTTCAATTCCTGTTAATCTTTTAGAAATACAAGGCCTAACAAAAAACATTAGGTGTTACCTTCTTTTCTTGGGGGGATAGTATGTATTTTGAGAAGAAAAATGCTGGTTGTGACTGTACATACAGAAGTATATGTTGTAGGTCAGAGGGGAAACTTAGGAAAAGTGTGGTGGTAATTAGTTGTTAATAAAGTTCATTCAGATATGTGGGATACCATGTTTGAGTAGTAAGCAGGAAACCTCACAACTCATTTCTTAGTAGGCGTTGATTCATAGGCAGGGAAGAAAAATGCCTTAAATGTAAATCATAAAATATAATTATTTGGGACTTAAAGTTTCTTGTTTGGAAAACATTGTGTTAATATGTACACGTTTCAAACTTCAACATTCTACCACCACTAACAAGTATATAAATTGCTTTGAAACATGAAATTAATTTCAAAAATAACATTTTTTTTAGTCTAACTTATTTTCTGGATTTAGATATCTGAAATTACTGAATCACATACCTGGAAAAATAAGTATCATATTCTAAAGAAAGTCTACTAGCGTAACACATAAATGATTACCCTCTTATATCATTTTTATGAGGGAATTCAACTGAATTTTTTGAGAATAACATTAATTAGAAGCATATGCTTAATGTGTTCTTGAATTATGATCTAGTATTTAAAAGTGTAAAAGTTTAAACAGTTACTATTTTACAAAATGAGTTGTTTGCAGCATTTATTTTTCTTTGCCAGCAGAAAGTGTTTTAAAAATGACATTTATTTAAAAATACTAAGTACCATTAAATCCTTTTTGTTGCAAAAGAGCTCCAGTGGCCTAAGAGGAAGCTAGCAGAGAAGTGCATGTTTCTTTAGGGGAAAAAAGGACGTAAAATAAAAGCAAACCCAAACCTGGTTCCTCCTGTTTTGTTTCCTCAGTTACTAAGAGGAGTGTTTAAAAATTCCTCATGATGATTATGGATTTACCTACTTCTCCTCACAGTTCTGTTAGATTTTGCTTTATGTATTTTGAGGTGACACATTTCACATTTGTGTGAAAATGCCTTTATTTTCCCCATCTTTTTGAAGAACAGTTGTTGTTTGAAAGACTACTACAATATTGTAAAGTAGTTAGCCTCCAACTAATAAAAAATAAAAATTAAAAAAAAATTTAATCTTGAAAAAAAAAAAAACAGAAACCCAGATTCTTGACTTCTGTGTTGGCACATTGAAGATATTATTCTATAATTCATTTCTTTTGAGAAGTTGCTTCTTGAAGGTAACTTCTTTTTGGTTTTGATATTCAGCAGTTGTACTGTGATGTTTCTACCTGTGGTTTTCTTTGCATTTTTCCAGCTTTCTACTTGCAGTGACTCTTGAGTCTATGGTTGGATTTTTCTTTTATTAGTTTTAGATATTCTCGGCCATTATCTCTTCAAATATTATTTTAAATAATTTCTTTCCTTCTACTCAATAGACCTTTTATATTGTATTATTTCTTAAAATGTTGTCTATGTTCTTTTCAGTATTTTCTATCCTTTTGTTTCATTTTTTCAGTCTGGATATTTTTTTCTGACCAAGTGTTTTAATTCTCTATTTTATCTTTGTGCTGCTGTTAAATTTATCCATTGAGTTCTTAATTTCCGTTATTTTACTTTCACTTCTGGAATTTCAGCTTGAGTATTAAAGTAACTTTCAGTTCTCTGCTGGGATTCTGCATCTTGTCATTTAGGTTTTTGAATTTATTAAGCCTATTTGAAAGCCCATGTGAGGTAACTAATTTGCAGCTATCCTCTGGGTCTTTTTTTTTGTTTGTTTTTCTCCTTGTGTCCTTTTGATTTCTAGTCAATGGTAGTTTTTGTGTTTTTTTCCTTCATACCTGGGTATTTCTGCTAGCTAGACATTATGTATGTAAAATTACAGAAATGATTTGCGGCTGTGTACCCTGTTAACCTCCTTCAGAGAAGATTTACTTTTGCTCCTACACAAGATAGGAGTAGAGAATCTTAACTCAGTCCAGAATTGAACTGTTAAAAACTGGGCTTTAGTTTGAGAGTCAGTCTGGTTTTGGGTCACCCCAATTCCTAGAGCTGGAAGAAGCACAAGCTGGAACCAAGATTGCCGGGAGAAATATCAATAACCTCAGATATACAGATGACACCACCCTTCTGGCAGAAAGCGAAGAGGAACTAAAAAACCTCTTGATGAAAGTGAAAGAGGAGAGTGAAAAAGTTGGCTTAAAGCTTAACATTCAGAAAACTAAGCTCATGGCATCTGGTCCCATCACCTCATGGCAAATAGATGGGGAGACAGTGGAAACAGTGTCAGACTTTATTTTTTTGGGTTCCAAAATCACTGCAGATGGTGATTGCAGCCATGAAATTAAAAGACGCTTACTCCTTGGAAGGAAAGTTATGACCAACCTAGACAGGATATTAAAAAGCAAGAGACATTACTTTGCCAACAAAGGTCTGTCTGGTCAAGGCTATGGTTTTTCCAGTGGTCATGTATGGATGTGAGAGTTGAACTGTGAAGAAAGCTGAGCGCCGAAAAATTGATGCTTTTGAATTGTGGTGTTGGAGGAGACTCTTGGACTTGTAAGTCTTGTCAAGTCCCTTGGACTGCAAGGAGATCCAACCAGTCCATCCTAAAAGGAGATCAGTCCTGGGTGTTCACTGGAAGGACTGATGCTGAAGCTGAAACTCCAGCACTTTGGCCACCTCATGCAAAGAGTTGACTCATTGGAAAAGACCCTGAGTCTGGGAGAGATTGGGGGCAGGAGGAGAAGGGGACGACAGAGGATGAGATGGCTGGATGGCATCACCGACTCGATGGGCATGAGTTTGAGTAAACTCCAGGAGTTGGTGATGGACAAGGAGGCCTGGCGTGCTGCAGTCCATGGGGTGGCAAAGAATCAGACACGACTGAGCGACTGAACTGAACTCCTAGATTGTGGCGCTCTGGGAATTCTAACTGAAAGTCTGGAAAATTAAGCAGGACCTCTCCTCCTTGGTGGCCTGGTGCTCTAGTTTTTGTTTTCCCATTCTTGTAAGAAATGCTGAAAGTTCTGTTCGGTTTCTTACCCTCTCATCTACTATTTTTGAAACAGTGGCTATAGAGGAAAATCCTAGAGGAGAAAAATGATGCCAGCTGTCTAGCACATCTCTCTGGAATTCTATTCTTTCTGAGTTCTTGGCTTCAGGTTCTTACCACCTTTATAATTCTCTGATGTCTTAAAACAGGTGCTTTTAACTTGTTGTGTAGTGTTTTCTCATGGCTGCACAATTGGTCTAAATAAGCTAGTCTGCCACTGCTGAAAGCAGCAAGCTTCCCTTCTCTGTTTTTGGAGGAGCTGTTAGGTTTGATTTCTGACTGACATTGAGGACATGGTGGTTTTCAAGAATATTTGTATTTATACATCCAAAGGTAGAGTCATGGAAAAAGAAAACTCTAAAGCCTTATGTACTTTAGTAGGTTTTTCTTCTTTTCAGATCATAATTAGTAAATATTAAAATTGTCAAATATTTTTTATTTATAAAAATAATATCTTACATTAAAGAAAGCTTGGAAACAAATAATCTTTCAGTTTTCACCCTACCACTAGCATTTTTATCTTCTTAAAAGAATTTCTTCCCTTTTACTTACCTGTCTAGTTATCTATCTCTTAAGAGTGTTCACAAGTGACGTAAAGGTCAGTTCTCTGTAAAATAAAAATGTGAAGATTTGGAAGTGTATAGGGTTAAAAGTTATCTCTCTATTCCCACGTCCACTCTACTTTTTGATTATACTGCTAGATACTATTTCTATGCAAATGCATTTACATACATTTATTCAGTTTTGACCTGACTCCCCCATCCATTGTTAACACAAATGTGTTTAATGTTAACTTTTTTTTTTTCTCACTTGGATATCTTTTCTTACTACATACAGAACTACCTCATTCCTTTTAGCTAACACCAGAGGGAATAGTTTATAAGCAGCAAACAGAACATTTCTTTAGAAGACAGGAGAGGGCATCAAGCCATAAAATAACGGCAGGCTATTATGAAGAAGAACCAGTTGGAAAACTTGGAAATGATAATAATAAAGAAAAAAGTCAAGAGGTGGGTTTGATAGCAGCCTGAAGTTAGCAGCCTGGAGGAGATTATCACACTGGAGGATCCAGCTAAGAAATGTTTTCTGGATGTAGCACAAAAGGACAAAGAAATATGAGGAATAGTTGAGTTTTAGGTAGTGACCTGTGTGAATGATTTAACAGTATGAAAAGTCACAGAGGGAACTGTAGTAAGGATAGGAAGTGTCTTTCTGCGGATTATTGTTTTGTGGTACAGCAGAGCCAGGTCAGGCTAGTGATCCTAAGAAACTAATGGGAGGTGGGAAAAAGGAGACAGTGTGTTCAGGGTCCACAGTACCACCCCCGCTTTTGGAAATGTGCTAGAACTCAACATTTCCTCAGCTGTTCTCTGAGCTAAGGTTTAGTGCGGCAATTTACTAAGACTATCCAGATCAAAAGGGAAAAAAAGAGGAGTTTTGAGGCGTCCACGTGCAGGCCTCCTTATGCTCTCCTTCCCACGAGGGGTCACACAGAGCTCCCTTTTCCCGCAGCAGTGGAAATGCAGCAGCATATGTGTGAGGTTGCTGTCTAGGGAAGCTTGTTAGAGTCTCAGTGCCTAAGGCTTTTATTTATGGTTGGTCATGCAGACAGCATGTACTGCGCATGCATCAGTATTCCAGAATCCCAGAAGCAAAGCATTTGTTGAGCGTAAGTTTTATTGTCTGTACAGGTAGTTTAGGCATGATGACCCAGCCTCATCAGTTGACTGAGAATGGTGAAAGTCGTTTCCCAGATGCCATCCAGAGGCCCGCCTGGCAGGCAGTCCTGCCGCGTTGATTCTTTTCTACACACTGGTGCACACTATTTGAGCAGTCTAATTATGATCAAAAAGGGAGACTGAGGGTGATTGCTTGATGCAGACATATTCAGGAAAGGCTTTTTAGTATGGAATAAACTCAAGCATAGTTATTACTTGAGGATAAGGAGCTAGTGGGATCAATGAAGTTGAAAATGCCTGAAATCACAGAGGAAGAAATGGTAGGGCAGTTTCGAGGCGACTGAAGGAAATGGAGTTCACGAGCCGATAGAAATAAGTCTTTAACAGGAGCAAGGAAATCTCATCCTTTGCGCTGAGATTGTGATTTTTCCTCAGTAAACTTCAGCTGCCTATTTCCTTGTGGGTGGGGAAGGCATCCCATCCAAAAAGAGAGCTGTTATGCAACAGCCACAGTGGATATCTCCCCTACTTGATGTCTAGTTGACTGCCAATGTCTGAATGAGTTGGCCTGAATGGAAGAGGAGCTTTAGAAAGAGGCCAGGAGAGCAGTGAGGATATAAGAGAATTGTTTATACTACCCCATGGGACTCAGGCAGTGCGAGAATGAGTGGTTTTCACTAAAGAGAAAAGTGAGTGGTTTTCTTGGTAGAGAGTTAGGTTCCAGGGAAGACACAGGGTACAGGGTGTTTGTGAAAAAGGTTGAGTTTACAGGGAAGGTTACTTATGAAAAAGAGATTCCAGGGTTTACATTGGAAACGTGGTTAATGATAAGATGGACCAAGAAAGGGCTCAGGAGCAGTGAGGACAAGACCATCAGAGAGGAAAGGTGACTGGAGAGTGGAGTTCTGGGTAATGTCAACAGTGTGGTTGACAGGCATGACACGTGTGGATGTAATTAACTGGCAAGTTCATGGTTAGAAGACTTTCATTTTTCTTTTATTTTAGTTGAGATTGAATGTAGTTAACTGAGAGCCAAGAGTGATTAATTCTCTGTATCTGTACTGAGGCTCAATATTTATTTATTCTGTTCAATTAAAAAATGTAGCTTGTTCAAATGTAGTGTTTGTGTTTTTAGGATTAATTTATGCTGATTTGACCTTTGCTTTTCAGAAATTATCATTGATTTTTTGCCTTTGCAAATACATGCTCATAAGTGAAACTGGATACCTTCTTCATGTAAAACTTACAAAAATTCTCTGCTATTAGTACTTTCAGAGTAAAGATGCTTTCTTTTTTTAATATATACAAGATATAATTTTATCAGGATATCGAAATTATTTGAGTATCTCAGTAACTAAATATGTGGAAAAAACAACCACCTGGTTAAGTTTTCCTTTGAAAATACTCTCTTTAGTTATTATATTTAATGGAGAAATGATTCCAAAACAGAAACTTCATTGGCTGGTAAAGAGAGGTTATGGTATAATAGGAGAGGAATGGTATTCTTTGATCCTTTGGCTCATGGAACCTCCCTTGAAGGGTAACAAAGTAGATGACATTTTAAATAACTATAAAATATGATTCAGAACTAGGAGCAAAAAGTAGGATCAGTGTCTGCTGGATTGACCTAGGACTCTTCTAGATTTGACCTAGGACTCTTCTAGATGTATATGTACTAAACATTGTGTTCTTTTTTTCCCTTCCCAAATAGTTCAGGTTGCCAGGTCTTTGCTAGAAGGTTGATCATTGCAGTTTGTAGACCATATTTTTTATTCCTTAATTATGTTAACAGCTAGAGTCGTTTTATAGGTTTTTCTTGAGACTGATGCCAGCCCTCTTACGGGTTGCAAAGTAATTGTAACATGAATCTAGACTATTTTTTTAGTGTCTAAAATTTCCAGGAGTGTTCTTTATTTATTTGATACATAAATTCTCCATCTGTTTCACTTCTCTGTGATATTTTAAAAGTATATTTGCTGTGAAATACAATAATACATTTTCTGTAGTTCTGAGTTAAAGGATTTAGATGAAAACTTAAGGGATGATGGAGAAGGAAATGGCAACCCACTCCAGTATTCTTGCCTGGGAAATCCCATGGACAGAGGAGACTGGTGGGCTACAGTCCATGGGGTTGCAAAAGAGTTGGACATGACTGAGCGACTAAGCAACAAAAAGTACGAAGTGTTCAATCCTAACTAGTTAGCTGGAAATCATTTAGAAGTTGAGTGTGTCAAAGCAGTGGAGAATCTATGCATTAGATCTCATGCAGTTAGTAACCTTTACTGAATCCCGTGTATGTTTGTTAAACAATAAACCAAAAGCTTTTGTATAAAAAAAATTCAGTGATGAGTAATATTTAGTTTTTATGTTGATACATCCAGTGAGTATAGCTTAGCCGTTTTGTCTACTGTTACAGTCGTATTCTAGTTTACAAAGGTATATATTGTAGGTGTGCATCTCAAAATCCACGCTCCATCAGTGATACAATTTCCCACCCTCTTCAATGAGAATCATTGGTGAATGGCATAGCTTGCTGCTGATGTTGCTAAGTCACTTCAGTTGTGTCCGACTCTGTGCGACTCCATAGACGGCAGCTGACTAGGCTCTTCTGTCCCTGGGATTCTCCAGGCAAGAACACTGGAGTGGGTTGCCATTTCCTTCTCCAATGCATGAAAGTGAAAAGTGAAAGTAAAGTCGCTCAGTTGTGCCTGACTCTCAGCGACCCCATGGACTGCAGCCTACGAGGCTCCTCTGTCCATGGGATTTTCCAGGCAAGAGTACTGGAGTGGGTTGCTACTGCCTTCTTTGGTATAGTTTAGACCTGGGTTCAAATTCTGTTTTTACCATTTGAATAGATTGTATAAAATCTTTATGCCTCATTTGTTCATTTATGAAATAAATGTAATGCAGTCTGATTTTCAAAATTGTTGTAAAGGTTAGAGAAGCTGTAAAATGCCAGGTACTTTGCCTGACTTTGAGTAAATGGTAGGTAAGTTATTATTGCTGTTACGATTGCTGAGTAGTGGCCATAGTTGCTTTGATAGCATGATATAGACACTGGGCTGTATATGTACATTGAAAATCATATGCTGGATTAAGGAAGACTAGTGTACAATCCCATAGAAGTCTTTAGAACCTCCTATAGCTGACTGTTTGTTGCATATATTTACTCAGATTTCTGAAAATAAATGAACCTATCATTCTGTCTAGTCTTTGTAGATGGACTTGAACGCTAATGTATTTTTCTTTTCCTTTATTTTCAGGGCGCTATATTTTTGGAGGGTGTAACTGTTAAAGGTGTAACTCAAGTAACAACGCAGCCCAAGTTAGGGGAGGTGCAGCAGAAGTGCCACCAGTTCTGTGGCTGGGAAGGGTAACGCGCTTTGACTTCTGATTGCCGTTTCCAGTGGAATTTATTCTTGCTCTGCAGTGCTTAACATTAATGCGAACAGACATAGCTTCTTTGCTCCATGAAGTTTCTGTGTTTACGTAGAGTTCTTTGTCAAGCAAAAGTTTTATCAGATTTTTCTCAAGATAAACAGGGTAATAACTAGACTTTTGAGTCAAAATTAGGTGACTCACATGTCTTCTCTAGAGGAATAGAAAATTACTATTGTTACTTTCTGGTATTTGGTTTGTGGGTTTGATTCTACTGTTGCTGATTAGCGTTTTGTTACCATTATGATTTTATTAAGAGAGAAGAGGTGAAACTTGAATGAGCCTCACTTTCCAGTTTTTCTGTCATCAGAAACCCGGAAGAATCAGCTTTACATAGACTCTGCCCCTTCCCATGGCTTGAAGACACTCACAGACGTTTCATGGCAGAGTGCACAGGAGGAGCTCTGGCTCTTACCTGGTGCCCTCAGGTCTTGGTCTTTGCCGTCTGCGGCAGAAAACGATCATACAGTTAGAACGTGAGGAAATAGCGGTGTTGTTAAAAATTCCTAGTACGAAGAACTTTTGAACTGGTACATACAGATCAATCAACTAGAAATAATTTTAACTGAAAGTTGCAAATGATGATGAAGTGATGTCAGTTTTAGTGTTCTGTTAAACCCTTGCCAGTGTACCTTAATCTCAACCTAAATTTCTCCTGTTTTGTCACTTCTGGGCATCTTTTGAGCAGAAACTTGCCAACCCTGCAGAGTTATGCCAAATTGGCAGTGTCATGATGGAGAAGTATGTAAGATAATTAAGGCAAGACTTGAACTTCCTGAAGTAAAAGGCTTGTAAAATATATGTGCTTTACTATTTAGATCATGTATGTTAATATTTAAAAATTAGCCCAGTAGTCATAATTCATAGTGGCATTTAGGATCTTGTTAACTCACATTTTAAAATGTCAAGAAAATAATAACGTTTTGTTAGTATTCTTGTGAAAGCTTGTATTACTCCAACTGATGTTGATTTCATGATTGGGAGACCATTGTGCTACATGTGTGACTCGTGTGAGATTGGTTTAAGACATGTATTGCTTTGTATGAATACCAGCCATAATAGTGATACAGTGATCTTCGTTAAGGTCTGGATTCCCTGGAGCACAACCTGTTTCCATGGACAAGCAAAACATTAAACTTTTGGAACAGAAGCCATATAAAGTAAGCTGGAAAGCAGATGGTACTCGGTAAGTTAGACTTCTGAAAAAAAAAAGTTATACTAAATAACACGAATGCTTGAAGAATATTGCTTTGTTGTGAGAGAAGGTTTGCACTTTGGGGAGTGACATGACCAGCAAAATAAGCCTGTTTCATATATTGTATAGTTTTTGTTTTGTTAGTATTCTTAGTTGTCTACTACAGTTATCTCTTTCATTTTCTAAATATTTGGTCTCAGTTTTATGTTAGTTTGACATGAATCTATACCAGATTTAAATCTGAAAGTACTTTTTCTTAATAATATTGTACTTTTTGGCATGTCTGCTGCCCACCACCTTGTCTTTAATGGTTGTTGGGCACTTCTGAAATTAACAGATGTATTATAAGTTTATAATCTAAAAATTACCAAGTCCCCTGATTCATTCTATATTTTATTCCTTCGATAGTTTTTCTGTTAATCCTTACTAATACTTTTTGTGATTTTATCCACTCTTAAGGGTCTGTTCTTATAACAGAGCTTAGCTTCACGTTTCATATTTCTAAGTTTAAAAATACTGATTAGTAAAAATTTTATGCTTCCTCAATACCATTTAACTTTTTCTCTATTGTCATCTATTTTATATGGCTTTGCTATATATGTATTTATTCATTCAGCCAATTTTATACTAGTTGAAATAACTAACAGATATTAATATAGAAGTCATGAGTTTTTTCATAATGAAGGAAATATTTTAGAATAATCAGAGTGTATGTAGTATGTGTATGGGCTTCCCCAGTGGCTCAGCAGTAAGAGAATCCACCTGCAATGCAGGAGATGCAGGTTTGATTCCTGGGTCAGGAAGATCCCCTGAAGGAGGGCATGGCAGTCTTCCCCATATTCTTGTCTGGAGAATCCCATGGACAGAGGAGATTGGCAGGCTACATTCAGTAGGGTCACAAAGAGTCGGACACAACTGAAGCAACTCAGCATGAACACACATATATGTGTGTGATATATACACACACATGTGGGGCTTCCTTCATGGCTCAGAAGGTAGAGTCTGCCTGCAATGCGGGAAACCTGGGTTTGAGCCCTGAGTCGGGAAGATCCCCTGGAGAAGGAAATGGCACCCCACTCCAGTACCCTTGCCTGGAAAATCCCATGGACGGAGAAGCCTGGTAGGCTGCAGTCCATGGGGTCACAGAGTCGGACGTGACTGCGCGACTTCACTTTCACTTTCATGTATGCATATATGTATATTTTAGTTTTTTTCCAAGTTTGTTGAGATACAATTTGACATGGCATTATGCAGGTTTAAGGTGTTCACATTGTTAATTTGATACACATGTATTGCAAAATGGTTACTGCCATGGTGTTAACTAACACTTCTGTCACTTCCATAATAACCATTTCTTTTCCGTGGTGAGAACATTTAAGACCTATCATCGTAGCAGTTTTCAAGTATGCAAATACAATAGTAACTATGATCAGCATATTGTGCATTAGACCCTCAGAATGTATTTGTCCTATAACTGGCAGCTTGTGCCCTTTGATTAGTATCTACTCATTTTCCCATCCTCTCATCCCGTGGTAGCTACCATTCCAGTTTCCGTTTCTGTGAGTTTGCCTTTTTTAGATTCCACATGTAAGTGACACCATTTGTCTTTTTTTCCTTATTCTACTTAACTGATATCCTCAAATTCCATGTTGTCCCAAGTGACAGGGTTTTCTTCTTTCTCATGGCTGAATAATATTCCTCTGTGTGTGTGTATAATATACATTTTATATATATATATATATATATATATATACACTTACATATAGCATTTTTATTCATCTGTTGGTGGATAGGTTATTTTCATATCTCACCTATTATAAATAATGCTGCAGTGAAAATGGGAAAGAAAATAATCTCTCTAAGATCCTGTTTTCATATTTTAGTTTTTAAAGATTATTTTGAAGATGATATAAGTTGCATTTGATTTTTATGACAGTTTTTGAATGTCAAAGTGATAATTATATCTTTTTTTATCATGCTGTCTTCATCTACATTTAACTTTGTGGTGACCTTAAAAGATACCTATGGAGATATGGAGTGGGTACAACTTGATTTTACTGTTAATATTTTTACAACTACTATTGTAATGCCAATAATGAAGTAAAAGAAAATAACTCAAAGTATATTTGCCATAAGAAGTATGTAATGCTATGGGGATAACTTGTAACAGACAAGCAAAAGTCTTTTAACGAATTGAAGCCGTAATGAGAGCAAATCTTGTGAGAGCTGAGACTTCGCTTTTAACCGCTGTGTCCTCAGTGCCTGGCAGGTGATGTTCAGTTCAGTTCAGCTCAGTTCAGTCGCTCAGTCGTGTCCGACTCTTTGTGACCCCATGAACCGCACGCCAGGCCTCCCTGTCCATCACCAGCTCCCGCAGTTCACCCAAACCCATATCTATCGAGTCGGTGATGCCATCCAGCCATCTCATCCTCTGCCGTTCCCTTCTCCTCCTGCGCTCAATCTTTCCCAGCATCAGGGTCTTTTCAAATGAGTCAGCTCTTTGCATCGGCTGGCCAAAGTATTGCAGCTTCAGCTTCAACATCAGTCCTTCCAATGAATATTCGCATGTGATGGGCACTCATTAAATGTTTATTGGATCAGTTAATCATTGAAAAGCTGCAAATGTCTTCGCATGAAAGTTATGGGAACACTTGTGATGGTTGTGAAGTTTTTGAGATTTTAAATGTGACAACTCTCTGTCACATTAATTTTCAAACAAAAATGTAAACCATTTAGCCAAAGCAGCAGCAGCAGCAGTATAGTTCAGAGAACATGACACGTAGGGTAGGGCAAAGCTAGATGACCCTAAGAAAAATGTTTGGATTTATGTAAGATAATGGCAATCCATGACCCAGTAGATTTGCTTTAAAAGGATTAAATAAAGTAATTCCAAACAATTAAGCATACAGTGGGCAGTCAGTAAAAGATAGCTACTGATATTCTCACACATACTTCTTATGTATGTGTATTATATGTGTGTGTGTGTGTGTGTATATATATATATATATATATAATGTATGTATATGTAAGACACATATATATACAAGCATTCTTGCTTTAAGAAAAATTGAATACACAGTTCATTGTAGTTATTGCTTAGCTCCTGGTTTTGAGTTTTTATATAAGCAATTCACTAAATATATACATTTGAAATGTAAATTGTATTTTTTTTCCCTCATAAAAATGTCCTATGCCTTTGTTATAATTGAGTGCTAGACATGTGGTCATGCTATACTTGCCCTGACAAGTACTTCGTGACTTGTAGAAATAGCTGCTATGTGGATAAACTGTCTATAATATGTTCGGGGAGCTTCTGAACATACTTACTGCTCTAATGGTTTTTGTACAGGACAGTGTAATTACCCCAGGTATAGTTAGGAGCTTGCTTGGATCCTTTGATATGTATCTCGTTAATAATGTTTGTAGCAGATGTTTATTCCAGTGAGTGGAACTGAATGTTCAGGCAGGAATAGTGTGGATAGGATAATAAGATGCTACACTAGAAAAGTTTTATATACTGAGAAGAATATTAAAGAGGTTTTAGATATCTCTGGAATAATTTTCAATGAACTGCAAACAGATGATGTTTTATGCTGTCTAGGAACAGAATGAGTAAGTCAAATTATTAACAATTCAGTGATGTTATATTGCTATAATTTAGATTTGTTCACTTAGCTGTTTTTTAGTTCCTCTTGAGGGAAGATATCAGAGCAGATATAAATGTCTGTTTAGCCCTAATTTTCTTTTGATCACAAAGTAAGTAGTTTCTTTTCTTTTATGATATATAACAACTTTGACTGAATATTGTGTTTAATAATAATTTACATATGTCTTATTTCCTAGTAAGTATTAATCAGGGCCATAACATTGTATCTAGTATTTAGAAACTCACCCTGTAAATAAAGCTATACCTGGAAAGGATTTTTAATTTGTGAACTCTTCTATGGAGACTTAGTTTGTTTGTGGATATGTTTGAGGGGGGTGGAACCCAGAAAATAAAATATTTGCTTTAATCTTGTGACTAGATAGAGGCAAAATTGGCAGTACGACTCTGGTCTTCTGCAGCTTTCTTTTTTTCCCCCTTCATTGTTCTGTGTTTTAAAATTTGGGCTTCTAGGATATGATTTAACATTGTTTTTCTTCATTATATAGTTAGCTCATTTTGGAACTTAGAAAATTTGGCACTGTATTTCTGATGATAACCCCAAACCAGGCTCCATCATTTGAAGACTCCAGTGCTGTTCTTTAACAGTTTCATTAGAACTGTTAGAACTGTGAGGGCGCAAGGCCAGCTTCCCTGCGTCTGGGAGGAACGCAGGAAAGCTGCAACTGCTCTGCTCCTCTCTTATGTCCCTTCACGGAGAAGGGGGACAGGCAGGGAGCGGCTAGAAGTTGGTCAGAAACTCTGTTCATTGATCTAAACCTACAGTTGATGATATCTGGCAGTAAATTGGTTAAAAAAAGAAAGTAGTGGAACTCATTTTACTCTTACTCCTTCTCTAAGCTCAAATCTTACTTACTATTACTTGAAATAGACAAAAGTGGGGCTGCTTCGGTTGTTGAACATTGGAACAGCATGTGGGATTGTATTCTGGGTGGCCTCTTAAGGTCACCATGGAACTTTTTAGGATAGCCCGTCCCAAATGACGCTGGATGTTTGGTTACATTGGTGGCTCAGACGGTAAAGAATCTGCCTGCAGTGTGGAGACTCCTGGGTTGACAGAGGAGCCTGGTGGGCTACAGCCCATGGGGGTCACAAAGAGTCAGACACGACTGAACAGCTAACAGTTTCACTTTCACCACTGTGATGGTGTTACCAGCATGTGTGCACGTGTGCTCTGCCGCTCACTCATGTCTCACTGTCTGTAGCCACATGCACTGTGGTCCCCCAGGCTCCTCTGTCCATGGAACTCTCCAGGCAAAAAACTGGAGTGGATTGCCATACTCGCCCCCAGGGGATCTTCCCAACCCTGTGTCTCCCACATTGGCAG